TGTGGCCATTCCCCCGGGTGGTGATTTCTCGCTTTCTGTCTGTCTCTCTGTCTTCCTGGCGAGTGCACGCGCCCTATAGCAAAAACCTCTCCAAAAAAAAAAAAAAAAAAGAAACCCCACACATATCATTAAGAGATGTATATGTATTGAACGCATTCTAATATATTAACACAGGCTTTTCCACCTTTCCTACAGTAATAGTTTCTCTCTCTGGTGGATCATGTTTTTTTTTTTTTCTTTTGAGAGGTTTTTGCTATAGGGTGCGTGCACTCGCCAGACAGACAGAGAGAGACATGGAGACAGAAAGCGAGAAATCACCCCCCAGGGGGGATGGTCACGCCACAATCCCTTCTCCTCCATTCTCCTCTCGGGATCTTGGGCACGCACGCACAAGCGCCCAGCGTGAGTTCTAAGCCACTGGGTCCGGGACGTGAACCGCAGTCGACTACGTGGGAATCTAGTGACATAACCATTACGCTAACTGCTGGTTCCCTCTGGTGGATCATGTTTCTGAGGGACAAAAATAATCAAGGCTTTCCCACATCCTTTTCACTCATGAGATTACTTGGTAATGTGTGTTTTTACACTTTCCCAAAGTGGAAAATTAAAAATAGCAACAAATACATTTCTTACTTTCATAAGGTTTTTCACACTTGTGAGATCAGTCAGATATTAAGATATAACACAGAGCACGGGACTGACCTTGTAGCCTGGAGGTTAAGGGAGCTGGATCCCACATGGCCAAATGTCCTTTGAATCCCAGACTTGGTGGCCTGAAAGATATGATGGGCACGTGTGCATGTATGCCCCAAATCCCGACAGGATGGAGAAATGGAGAGAAGGAATTATGGTATGACCATGGCCCATTAGGGGGTGATTTCTACCTCCCTACTCAGATTTCAATACATTCTTTGTATCAAGAGGACTTGTATTTACATCTAGCATGCTCACAAGACCAGTAAGGCCTGAGGAAAATAGTGAACGCTTCCCCACCTTCCTCACGTTCAGGGTCTCTCTTCAGCATGAGTTCAGTCAGACTCAGTAAGATGTGAAGGCTGAGTGATAGTTTTCTTACGTTGGTTATACTCATAGTTTGTTTCCTAGGGAGTGTGTACACATAAGGCCTAAGGTGTAGGGAGGGAATGAGCTTTCCCACATTTCCTCACATTCCTATGGCTTCTGTTGGAATCTTGAGATTTGAGACACTAAAGAAGGCTTCTCCTGTGCTGCTGCTGCTTTTTTCTTTCAATTTATTTATTTGCATTCATTCACTGTACATCACTACAACATACAAAATGAGATTTTCCATCCAGAGTATACTGTATATTGTCTCAATCAAGCACATCAACAAACATGTTATTGTCAGCAAATGATCTTCCATTTCTTGTTTTCTGCATGTTTCGCTTCCCCCTCCCCCCATCCTTGATTCCCTATCTCTTACCCTCTGCCATCTCCCACTCTCCTCCCACACTGTCTCTGGTATCTATGTTTGCTTTCTATACTGTTTTCCCCCCCACATTTTATTGAATCACCAAAGACCCTAATCAATCCAAATACCCTCATAGCAAACACAGGTGACACACACATTTCCATGAACACAAGTCTAACTTTACACATCCTATAAAG